AAAGAAAGAAAGAAAGAAAGAAAGAAAGAAAGAAAGAAAGAAAGAAAAAGAAAGTAAAAAATAGCATGCTTCAGTCTATATTCAAACAATATCAGTTCTTTCTCGGGAGGCAGATAGCATTTTTCATCATAAGTCTTTTGGAATTGTCTTGGATCGTTGTATTGCTGAGAATAGCTAAATTATTCACAGTTCTTCATCATACAAAAATGCTGTTACTGTATATAATGTTCTCCTGGTTCTGTTCAGTTCACTTTCTATCAGTTCATATAAGTCTTTCCAGGTTTTTCTGAAATCATCTTGCTTGTCATTTCTTATAGCTTAATGATATGCCATTAAAATCATATACCAAAATTTGTTCAACTATTCCCCAGTTGATGAGCATCCCCTCAATTTCCAATTCTTAGCCACCAGAAAAAGAGCTGCTATAAATATTTTTGTACAAATATGTTCTTCTCCCTTTATTTCTATCTCTTTGGGGGTACATTTAGATATAATTTACCAAATGTTTGAGCAAAGTATTTATTAAAGTATCTCATATTATTCTTGTGGTGAAGAGGGAGAAATATTAATAAATAAATAATAACTAAATAAAATTAGGAATTCCCCAGGGATGTATGACTAACCTTTTGCTGTCTGAAATTTTTGTCAATGACTTGGATAGATGGCATGCTCATCAAATTTGAAGATGACACACAATTGGGAAAGTTTATATTTTACCACTTTTTTTTTTAGAGACAAAATGTCACTGACAAAAAGTGTCCAAGGTTTGCTAGTGCTTATATTTTCTAAATGTGTGTCATGAGTTGGTAGTAGTTTTCTTTGAACACATTGAACCCATTTCATGCTTCTTAATGACATCTGCTGCCATATCGAGCCATTTCAATATATTTCTTACTAGGGCTATAGTTCGCTCTTGATCCATGTTTAAGAAGTGTGAACTGGGGGCAGCTAGGTGGTGCAGTGGATAGAGCACGTGTCCTGGATTCAGAAGGATCTGAGTTCAAATCTGACCTCAGACACATAACATTTACTAGCTGTGTGACCCTGGGCAAGTCACTTAACCTCTACTGCCCAACCAAAAACCAAAAAAAAAAAAAAAAGCGTGGATTGACAATACTTCATTGTCACATTTTGACCACTCCCAAGTTCAAAACTGCTTGCCAGAGGTAGGCAGTATCACTAGCAAACTATGAATACATCACATAGAGACAGCCAAGAAAGCCTAATGTGGATGCAGATGCTCTATCCCAAGGGTCACTGAAGCTATGGTGAAACTTAAGAGTGGAGTGAAACTCATAAATGATAGTGAAGGAGCTGGACCACAATAAAATGGAAGTTAGGCTTAGAGTGGGTTTTCTATTGGATAGGATGCTAGCAGGGTGTATGAAACTTGTTTTAATGCACCAACCAACTCTCTTTGCTTCAGGTGACTGAAAGTGAGAGCAAATGGTTGATGAAGGACTTGGGAAGCAGTACAAGCCGAACTAGTGAAGCTAAAGGACTCAAATTCCATCCCCTAGAAGGTACTTTACTTTTGAGACAGTGGTATAAATTGGAGTTATTTGCATATGATATGGTACATCAGACACTAACTGATCCATAACGGGACCTGAAAACAGTTGGTGCTAAACACTGCATATCGTTCTATAGACATAAAATTACTATATGATGTAACACACATAGCCAAACAAAACAAATTATTGCATTGGCTATGCCCAAATCTATACCTATATGTATACCTATATCTATATCTTCTCTTTGTCTCTGTCTGTCTTTATCTGCTATAGGATTAGATCTAGTAGTCTTGATATTAGGCCTGATGGTTTTGAGGCTACCATGACAGTCTGCCCTTAAGGGAGGCTGTAAGCTTATAGTTCTGGTAAATACTGATAATAATAGTTTTCAAAGATTAGTGCAACTGTATCATTCAAATAATACATTATCTGCCATCAACTTGTTTTTTTCCCTGATGATAAACCCTCCAAAATATTATTTTGCCCTAACCCCTGATATGCAACTTCGCCAGCTTTAGAGGAGCCACTCATAACCAGAGTATGAGAACCCCACACTCAGAAGGACACTTTGGAAACATACTCCCCTCTATTGGGAGTATCACCTCCCATCCAGGAGCACACTTCCCTGTTGTAGCACCCTCTTCCTGGTGAGTGGACCTATGTCTCTGTGCACCCCAACACAGTACTGCCCTTGAATGAGTTATATACTCTATGTTAGTGTGTTTGCCTGAGTTGTATGTGGGCTCCATTTTCTTTTCTCTCTCCTTCCCCCCTCTCCTCCATTGCTCCCAATAAAGCTTTGCATTGAACCGACACTCATTCTTCTATATGCTGTTGTCAGCACCTAAACTCATGAAGGGGTTGTTTTCCCCAACATCTCTGGCTGGCCTACGAGCCTCTCCTTAGACATAAACTGGATACTCAACCAAGGACTTAACTTATTAACAGCTGCACATACACTGGGGAAGTACTATATAGGAGTCCACTTGTAGAAAGTAGGGTTCAATAGGGGAGCCCTACATCCTCCCAGGAGGGACTCCTTTATGCCAGAGGACTGACTTAAACTCTCTCTCTCTCTCTCTCTCTCTCTCTCTCTCTCTCTCTCCCTCTCTCTGTCTCTCTCTCTCTCTCTTTCTATATATATATATATATATGTATAGATAGATATAGATATATATCTGTAATTATCTGCATCTCTCTCTCATTCTGCACCCCAAGTTTATCACCTCTCTTGGGAGGTTGACGTCATTCTTTATTTTCAGTCCTCTGAAATCATGGTTGGCCATTGTGCTGATCAGAGTTTTTAAGTCTTTCAAAGTTTTGTTGCTATTGTATAAATTGTGCTCACGTCACTCTTCATCAGGCCATGTAGGTCTTCTCAGGTTTTTCTGAAACTATACCCCTCATCATTTTTTACAGCACAAAGGTATTCCATTATTTCTCTATATCATTTATTCAGTCCTTTCTCAACTGATGAGTGCTCCCTCAGTTTTCAGTTCTTTGCTACCTTGGAAAGAATTTGTATGAAAGAGAACTGAAATGGTTTAAGCAAAAGCCAGGTGATCACTTTTCAGGGACTCTATAAGAGAGATTCTGACATGGAGTGTGGAGTGTTGTACTAAATGGCCTCTACAGTTCCTTCCATCTCTAAGACCCTGGGATTCTAATTGAGTGGTACAGGACTTATGATATGGAACCTATACGGACTCTAGGCTGATCCTGTGCCTAGATCTAGAAATAGTGGGCTGGGAAAATTCCTTGGAGAGAGAAGCTGAAGGATCTAAGACAGCTTAGATATGGCACTGAGGTCTTTAGGGACAGACCAGATTTATTCAAACAACTTCTTTTTTTAAATAAAAAGATGGAGTTGAGAAAAGAGAGTCTGTCCCAGCCTTGAGGAAGTACTGATCAGCATGATCATTAACATGCTTAGTAGAGAAGCAGGTCTTCTCTACTTCTCTTTTCTAATTCACTTTATCTGGGGATGCAGGTCCCCTCACTCGCTTTCTGGTGCTGGTGTGGACAGCCCCTACTTTGAATTTGTCTGATCTCTTCTCTTATCCCCCATGGATCTGCTCTTCATGCTGGCCCTTGGTGAGTAGGATGGCTTAACACAAGCCCTTGGGGATAAGGTGCAGATGAAGCCCTGCTGATTTCCCAGAAATGAGGTCCCTGGATGGGCTGTTTGAAATATATCTTTTTGGTGTGTTTCATTTTGGAAAGGTCATGGTGAGCAGGAGAGATACAGTAGGACTTGAGGAGGACAAATATTATGATCTCAAAAAGAAAGGAAGAGAACAGAATCTACAAACTATAGGCCAAATAACAATGCTTGCCTTCTCTTCCTGGCAAAATTCTAAATGCTGTTATCAAAGGGATCACAAAAAGGCAGTGTGATTTCATTAAGACCTGGTCTTGCCAGTCTAAATTTGTTTCCTTTTTCAGCAGGGTGATCATGCTGGTAGATAAAGGAGGTGTTGAAGATATTATGTACCTAGATTTTAGCAAAGAATTTGACAAAATCATAGTATCAATTGACATTTACATAGCACTTTGAGGTTTACAAAACACTTTATAAAGATTATCTCATTTTATCTGCACAACAACCCTGGGAGGTAGGTGCTATTATTATCCTCATTTTACAGATGAGGAAACTGAGGTACACAGAGGTACTTAACTAGAGCCACACAGCTAGCAAGGGTCTGAGGCTAGATTTGAACTGTCTTCCTGATTCCTGATCTAGTACTCTCTCTACTCCAACACTATGCTATTCTTGAAGAAAAGATTGGGGGATGTGGGCTAGATGATAATACATTTAGGTGGATTCAGAACTGGTTGAATAGCAAGTCTCAAAGAATAATCATTAATGGTTCAATATAATCTTGGATTAAGAAGTCTAGTGGAGTGCCTGGGGATCATTTCTGCTCTTGAGCTGTTAACATTTCTATCAGCGAATTAGATAAAGACATATATGGAATGCTCATTGAATTTGTAGATACCCCAAAAGCAGGGAGGGACACGGGTAACTTATTTCCTGGATGACTAAGCTGGGATCCAAAACTAGGTCAACGGTGTGTAATACTGGGTTAAATTAAATAAGATGAAGGTGGAGAGGGGCAGGGAGGAGAGAGAATTGAATCTGTGAATGAACTGGCAAGGGAACTCCCAGTTTGGAAATTGCTCTCCATCTGCACCTGTTCTGCATTTTAAGTTTTAGAGAGTTGCCTGAGGCATTGAAAGGTTTGGTAGCTTGACGGTATTGCAAAAAGCCGATATGTGTCAGGACATGAATCAGGAACGTTAGAGTCTTACTGAACACAATGCCTCATCTCTATCCTGATCTCTATGTCAGGGGTGGCAAACTCCAGCCTCAGGTCCAAATCCACACCTGTTTATGTACTCCCCTTCCTTAAGAATGGTTTTCAGCTGGTGGCAATTGTTTGGTGTTTCCTGTTCTTTGTCTCCCCATGCTGCATCTCCTTTAGAAAACAAGGATGTTAGAGATAGCCCTAATTAGGGATAATAGGGATACATTTAAAGCCTTAAATGGCTCAAAAATCAGGCTGGATATGCAGTTTTGGAAGCCATCCTCATAGAGGTGATAATGGAGCCCTTGGGGGGATAATGAGATCATCAGTGAGAGAGGATAGAGAGAAGAGAAGAAAGCCCTGGACAGAACCATGGATGGAGGACAAATATGAGCATCAGACTTTGAAGAAATAAACAATGACCTATAATTAGGACCATTCAGTAATCATGGTTGGGCCACAATAATATAAAAGAATGATAATTGTGCCTAAATTAATTTACAGATTTAGTGATATATCAATATATCAATAATACACATATATAATCAATTTATCAATAATGCTAAGGGATGGTATTTTATAGAGATAGACAAAATAATATTTGCTTGGAGGAACAAAAGATCTTGAAAATCAAGGGAAATAATGAAAAAATAGGAAAGAATGGAGAATAGCATCTCAAGATCTCAAATTATATTATAATGCAGTAATTATAAAAGCTGTGGTGGATAGACCCATCCGGTGAATGTAGAGGGGACTGCCCTGATCTAGTGGAAGACAAATGGACATCTACTCTTGTTCCTCACCTCTCACCTTTCATAGCAAGGCAGCTTCAGTATATTTGGGGGTTGTATGTACGTGTCAAGAGACATACTAGATGGTCATTACCAGGAGCAAACTCCTAACCCCCACTAACAGTGGGGTAAAATGGAAATAGCACTAGATTTAGAACCAGAGGACTTCTGTTTAAATTCTAGCTCTGCCCCTTGATGCTATTTAGCTTCTATGAAACTCAGTTTCCTAACCTGTAAAATGAGGTCACTGGGGCAGATGAACCCAAAGGCCCCTTTGCAGCCCTAAATCCATGATTGCATGATCCAGCTCTTGAAGAACTTATGCTTAGGGCAGCTGAGGCAGTGAGGTGGCACTGTGGCTGAGTGTGGGTTGGGCCTGGAGTCAGGAACACCAGAATTCATATCCAGCCTCAGATACTTAGTAGCCGTGTGACCCTGGACAAGTCACTTAACCTCTGTATGCCTCAATTTTCACAACTGTAAAATGGGGCTAATAACAGTGCCTACTTCTCAGGGTTGTGAGGATCAAATAAAATAACATTTATACAGTGTCTGACATATAGTAGGTACTTAATAAATGCATGTTTCTTCCCTTCTTTCCTAAGGGGTGGAAGGGTTGTTAGCTACTTTGGAAGAATACCTATGGATTCTTTAAAGCATTAAAATAAATCCTGCCCTAACTCATGGTCTTGACTTTCTCTTGCAGCTTTGGTCAGTGGACAATCTGGTGAGTTCCTCTTTTCTTCGCTCTTCATGGTCTCTAGGTAACTGTGTCACTTCTGCAACCACTGGAGATCTGTTTTTTCTGTGGGAAGAAGCCTTGTCTGCCTTAGCACCTTCTGGTAAAAGTTCAAGGGATGTGAAAGTGGCATCTGCTCTTAATGATGGTAACACCAAAAAGTCAGAAATGCTTTGTGGTCATACCCTTTGCTCTGGCCAACTGGTATGCAAAAATCCTTCTTGCTCCCCATGCATTGCTCTTGGCACCCATCACAGAGGAGAGAAACCTCTGAATGGAGTAATGGATACTCAGCACTTGGGGGGAGGGCAGATTTTTTCAAAGAAGTACTACTAGATAAGAACCAAGGGATATATGCATTTTTCGTGGCGTTGAAGGTGACAGCTCCACTCTTTCTTGCCGTCTTTGGCCACTTTAGGACCTCATAGAAAAAGTCTCTGGTGTAATAAGCAGGACCTTACATAATATAGACAGTCCCAGCTATTTACCTTGGATTGTTGAGACAACAACTAAACAACAAAGATTTATAAAGTACTTACTGTGTGCCAGGCACTGTGTAGGCACTGGGTATACAAAGGCCAAAAAGAAACAGTCCTTGTCTTTAAGGAGCTAGCATTCTCTCTCTCTCTCTCTCTCTCTCTCTCTCTGTCTCTCTCTCTCTCTCACACACACACACACACACACACACACACACACACACACACAAACTCACACATACACGGAAGGCAAATGGAAAGCACTATGGTATAGTGAAAGAACTCAGGGCTGATTAGAAAAACCTGGGGTCACATCAGAGCTCTGTCTCTTATTACTTGTGTGACCTTGGGAAAAATCACTTAAATTCTCTGGGACCAATTATGTTTTTGTTTTTTAATTTATAAAATAAAGGAATTGGATTAGATGATCCCCAAGGTCCTCTGACTGCAAATGCTTCCCACTGCATCATTCTGCATGCAAAATAATGGAAGCTGAACCAGGGGAACAATAGATCTGAGGACTTTAAGAATGGAAATGAAAAGAACACTAAAAGACAACTGATCTCTGGGTACTTGGGGTCTCTTGGTTCTCTTCAGAGAACAGAAGATAAAATGCCCTTGCTTCTTCTCAGTAGAGAGGCGTGGGACTACAGGTGCAGGATATGGCATACATTATCAGGGGAGGGCACTGTAATGGCTGGTTTTGCTTACTTTGTTTAGCAATTTAACAATTTTTATTTAAAAACAAATCATCAATAAAACTTATAACAATAAAATAATACAAGGAGGACAACAAAACAGAGGCTTTTGAACCTAATGACCATTAGTCCCAAAAGTCCCAAAGATATCTGTCTATCTATCTATTTATCTAGAGATAGAGATATAGAGATAGATATAGAAAGATAGATATAGTTATATAGATCTCTAAAGTGACTTAGAGTTCCAGATATAAAGGTTCCTCAGAGAGAAACCCCTACCAGCCACCCCAGTAAGTTTTGGTCCTGACAAGTTGGTTTCTCTCTGACTCTGTCTCTGTCTCTGCCTCTGTCTGTCTTTCTCTGTCTCCCTGTTTCTGTCTGTCTGTCTGTCTGTCTGTCTGTCTCTCTCTCTCTGTGTCTGTCTGTCTGTTTCTCCACTTCTTGCCATTCCTCATGGTGCTTCAGCATAGCTACCATATTCTATAGTTTTACGGGTCAGGCAAGGGGAATTCTTTAGTGTTAGATGGTCCTTCAGTTTTATTCGGTGCAAGATGGGGATAGCACTTCCAGAATTCTCTTCTTCCCTAGTTACCACTGCTGCCACCAATCAATTCTCCCTTTCTTACATCTTTGGGATACAGAAATTATTACCATTAGCCATCTTCATGTGTACCTTTAGGACAGAAAGCCTTTGGTTTGGGGTGGAAGGAGGGGGTAAAAGTTCTAGCTGCTACCAATGTAATTAGCAATATATTATACTGAATCAGTATTTTACTTGGTTACTGGTAATTACTAATTAATTGTTCATTAATTTAATTTTTCATTCACTATTGACTTTATCCTTATTCATCTTTCTATGTATCTGTCTCTCTTTCTATGTCTCTCCTTCTTATTCCCTTCTCTCAAGTGAATAATTAAAAAAAAACAGAATTCTCAAAACAAATATGCATGATACAGTAAAAGAAATTCTAACATTAGCCATGTCCAAAAAAGTATATCTATTATGTATTTTAAGTCCATCATTTCTATGATAGGATGTAGGTAGCTTGTTTTATTTTTCATCCTCTAGCATCATGGTTTATCATTGCATTGACTTTAATTCTGAAATCTTTTCAAATCATTTTTCTTTATAATGTTGTCATCGTATACATCATTCTCCTAGTGCTGTTGATTTCATTCTGCATCAACCAATCAATCAATAAACATTTATTAAACACCTGTGATATGCCAGACACTAATGCTAAGCATTGAGGATACAAAAAGAGGCAAAAGACAGTTAGTCTCTGACCTCAAGGACTTTACAATCTAATGGGGGAGACAACATGTATACCAATACATGCAAAGCAAGTTATATACAGAATAAATAGGAAATAATTAACAGAGAGAAGGCATCAGAATTAAGAGCGACTAGGGTTAGCTCATAGAGGCCTTCCCAGTTTCCTTCTGAAACTATCCATTTCAATATTTCTTATGGCAAAGTTGCATTCTGTATGTATATATGTATATGTATATATATATATATACATATACACACACATACACACATACATGTATGTATGCATGTATATGTATATATCTATCTATGTCTGTCTGTCTGGCTATCTATCTATCTGTCTATGTCAATCATCATTGTTTAGCCATTCCCCAATAGGTGGGCACCCTCTTAGCTTGTGAGGTCTTTTTTTGCTGCTACAAAAGAGCTACTCTAAAAATTTTTTTGCACATATGAGTCCTTCTCTTTCTTTGATCTCTTTTAGGTATAGGCCTAGTTAGTGGTATTGCTGGGTCAAAGGGGATGGATGTTTTAATGATTTTTTTTGTGCGTTAATTTATCCTATTTCTTCTAATATTAGGGCTGAGTAGGTGGTAAGGAGTGAGAGAGCAAAAAGACACTTGGCCTATCTGTTTATTTATTTCCTGTCCATTTGAAAGATACTGTGTTAAACACTGAAGGGGAATACAAAGATAAGTAACAGATAGCCTCTGCCTCTAGGTATGAGAATACAGTAACTCTGATGCAAGGCAACGCAGGGAATTCTGTAACACAGACTATGGGACCTCAGAGGAGGGAGACAGGACTTCCACATGGGATGATGAGGAAGGCTTTATTTCAGAAGCAGCATTTTTCTGGGTCTTGGAGGGCCCATAGGATTTTGATAGGCAGTGACTGAGAATAGGGGATGGCTTTAGTGACTGCAAAGAGAACATGTGCAAAGACAGGAAGGAGGAATATCCCCAGAAGGAAGTGTTTACAGAAGAAAGGGAGGGTCAAGGGGTTAAAAGACAATTTCATCTTCCAGCAATTTTAACCAGTGCTAGCCCTGGATACAGCAGTGAGAAAGGGGTTTATGGTGGGTTGAGAGCTGTCTGTGCACCATGTTCCCCTACTCTTTTCTTCTATCCCAACCGTTTAGGTCAATTTAGTTTAGATGAACAAGAGTTTTATAGTCAGGAAACTAGATGGTACAGTGGATAGAGCACTGGGCTTGGCATCAGGAAGATCTGAGTTCAAATCCGGCCTCAGACACTTGCTACCTGTGTGATCCTGAGCTGGTCACTTAACCCTTCTTTTCCTCAGTTCCTCACTTGTGGAATGGGGACACACCTGAGAAGGAAATGGAAAACCACCCCAGTATCTTTGCCAAGAAAACCCCATGGACAATGTCCACAGGATCACATGGAGTTGGACACAACTGAACAGAAACAGCAACAACAGTGTGTGTCAGCCCCTGTCCTAGGTGCTGGAGGCACAGAGACAAAGCTGAAAAAGGGTCCACCTTAAAGGTGCTTCTAAACAATAGGCACATAGAAAACTAAACATAAAATATAGGCAAAGTAATTTTTTTGGGGGGAGGGCACTAACAACTGTGTGTATGTGTGTGATCAGAATAAACTTCCCCTGGATGTGTGTGCGTGTGTGTGTTTGTGTGATCAGAATAAATTTCCTCGTAGGAGGTGGTAACTGAGTTCGGTTGGAAGGAAGCTATTCCCAGGTCATGTGAAGCAATCCCTTTTTTATCATTCATATATTGATTTCCAATGTTGGGACTGTACGTATCTTTCATTTTTTGCCTTTTCTCTCTTCTACTCAGCTTTTTTGCCAAAACCAGTAATTTATATCAATCCTCCATGGACCACTTTCTTCAAAGGGGAAAGAGTGCTTCTGACATGCAACGGATTACAGTTCTATGCACTAGGGAAAACAAAATGGTACCATAAGGGGATAATGCTCCAAGAAACCCCTGGAAACAACATAATAGTTAATAATCCTGGGCCATATAAATGCAAGACCAACAATTCACCCCTTAGTGACTCTGTAAACTTAATCTTTATTAGAGGTAAGAAAAGAGGTGAATTAATTAAAACATTAAAAATGGTTTCAGTTTATCTTTCTCTCCCTGGGAATCCCAGGATTTAGATTCCATAACTCAATTCTCCTCCAGGCCTAGGAGCCAAGGCTCTGTCACCTCTAGTTCCAGCTTTCACTCTACTGCCTCAGAATTTCTCTTACTAGGGACTGGAAATGTAAATGGGCTAATAGCCTGAGTGACTGTGAAGATAGTGTCACCTTTTTTTAAAAAAATAATTAATTTTTTAGTTTTCAATATTCACTTTTATAAGGTTTTGAGTTCCAAATTTTTCCCCTTCCCAAAATGGCATGCAATCTGATATAGGCTATACATGTACAGTCATATTAAACATGTTTTCACATTAGTCGTGTTATAAAGAAGAATCATAACCAAAGGGAAAAACCACAAAAAGAAAAAACAAACAAAAAAAGAGGGAAAATAGTAAACTTCCATCTGCATTCAGACTCCATACTTTTTTTTTTCTGGATGTGGATATCATCTTCCATCTTGGAATTGTCTTAGACAGTGTCACCTTTGACAAGAAAAGGGAAGCTGAGAAGAGAGGAGTATTGGGGGGTGGGGGATAACTAGTTTTATTTTGGACATGTTGAGCATGAGCTGAATTTTTTCACCTGGGGAAAAATCAGGGTATACAGAGGGTAGCAGTGAGGGCACAGGGGACAGTAGAATCAAGGTTTGAGCCTTGCCCAGGAGAAGGGGCAACCCATTTTCTGGAGAATCTTGAATGTATCTCTATGGGATTTGTGGGAGGTGAGAGTAATACTTAATAGATTATAGTTTAGTGTAAATACAACTTTCATATGCACTGGGAAACAAAAAAATTTGTGTTTTGTTTTATTGCAATACTCACTTTATTGAAGTAGTCTGGAACCAATATCTCTGAGACATACCTATAGTCAGTATATTACTAAATACCAAATATCACCAGATCATTTTCATTTGAACTCAATCAAAAAAGCTAGGAATCATGAGATTGCAGTGATACTAATGATGACGATGATGATGGTAATGTTAATGATGGCAGCTCCCATTTATAGAGTTTTTTAGAGTTAGCCTCCAAGCCAGGAGTAATTGGGTTCAAGTTTCCCCTTGGATAAATACTGGCTGTGTGACCATGGACAAATCATTTAACCTTTCAGTGCGTAGGCAACTCTCTAAGACGGTAACTTTAGAGAAAGTGCTTACCCTTGGTAGAGAGATTTCCTCACCAGGGAATTCTTATACAAACGAAAATCAGAAGTATAATCCCTATCTCCAACCTTACATATATTGTCTCACTTGATCCTCATATAAGCCCAGTGAAATGGGTATTATTTTCATCTTTATTTTATAGATAAAGAAACTGGGGCTCAGAGAAACTAAGTGAATTTCCCAGAGTCACACAGCTACTGTCTGAAGCAGAATTTGAATCCAGTCCTTCCTAACTCCAAGTTCAGTGACACATTCACTAGGCCACTCTGATTCCAAGTACAGTGCTTTTTCTCCTTCCCCACAAATCCAAAATTTTGAGTCTTATCTCCAAAGGCTCGAGGGATGAGTTGACAAGCAGTATTCAGGAGAAGCCGTCTCACTTTGGAGAGAGGGGAATTTGGATCAGGGGATTAAGTCTAATGTTAAGCAGAGGGCACAGGAAAGTCCTGAATATCCTGATGAAGCTTCAGGCTAAGGGCTCCCTGGTCTTCCTTCCTTCTTCATTCCACACAGTAGGCACTAGATAATGGTCTATTGAATGTATAGAGAAGCCCATCCCTACATAGGTTCTTCAGGATGACCTTTGTTACAAATGAATGAATATATTAAACCTCAAAAAATTTGGAGATTGTATGGCTAAGTAACTAATGAATGTGGGTGTGTCTTACAGTTTCTTTGATCCTGAGGATTCCCTACCTTGCTTTTGAAGGAGATAGTCTGATTCTTCAGTGCCAGGAAAAAAATAACGTAACTTTGACCCGTGTGACATACTACAAGAATAGAAAACCTTTCTCTGCTTTTAACCAAAACTCAGATGTCTTTATCCCACAAGCAAGTTTAAGTAACAGCGGTCTATATTACTGTACTGCATTCAAACATATGTCATGGAAGATTATATCAAGTTCAGTGAATCTGCACATCCGTGGTATGATTGCCATTCCTATGGGGAAAGGGATAAGGATAGTCAGTGGCAGGGTCACTGATTTGGTGGAGTGGGATGGACATGACAGAGAGATATCTTATGGATTGACCATTGATGGAAACTCAGATTGGGTTGGTAATATTCGTTCTCTAGGGAGCTGGGAAAGCAGGAGTTAAAGCAACCAGGGGAAGGGAAACTGAATGGGGGAGGGCACTGTGCATGGGTGTGTCTCTTTGTCTGGTTAAGCATCTGTAAGTGTTGAAAAACCAAGGCTCATTTCTTTATTGGACTCTTCTTTCTAGAGTTGTTTTCACGTCCAGTGCTGAAAACAACAGACTCCCAGCCCATAGAGGGGAGTCTGGTGACTCTAAGGTGTGAGATATGGATCCCTCCAGAGAAGTCAAGCATCCAACTTCTCTTCTCCTTCTTCAGAGATCCCGGGGTCATTCTACTGGGCCAAGCCAGAGCTCAAGAGCTCCAAATCTCAAAATTCTGGAGGGAAGACTCAGGACTTTACTGGTGTGAGGTAGAAACTGTGTCTCCTCGGGTCTGCAAACAGAGTCAACCAATAACGATGAGTGTGAGGAGTAAGTGTGAGGGAGAGAGGTCTAATAGGTCTGGAATTAAGAAGAGGGAGGCTGGGTAAATGGTTATCATCTTGGCATTAAGTCCTATTCTGTGTGACTTTTCCTGTCCCTAGTATAGGAATGGGATCCTTACTAGAGAGAGGGGGCTCCTCTTCTTAAGTGAAACATTAGGAATGGGTTGAGAACCACAAGACTCCAAGGCAAGAGATATAGATAGTATTTTGTTTCCACCTCTGGGTCCCCATTGTTTTCAATGTCTCACAGACAAACTCTTCCTCAACATTCATATGTATATATCTTTCTCTTTGTCTCTCTGTCTCTGTCTCTCTGTCTCTCTCTCTCTGTGTTGAGAGGGAGAGAGATGTACTCTAAACTGAGATTGCCCCTGATGACTCAGATGAGCAAAATTTCAGGATGATAAGACAATGGAGTAGGACCTTTAGGAAAGGGGATCCATTATGACAATAAACAATCTGAGGATCTACCATATGTAATACGTCATGATAGGCACTGGAGATACAAAGAGGAATAAAGAATGTAAATCCCTTTCCCTCAAGGTGTCAACAATCTAGTTAGGGAGTTATAAAAAGAGGAAATAAGGGAGCATATGCTAAGGGTCAAGACAGTATCCAAATAAGTGGGTTCAATATTCAATAAGCATTTATTAAATATCTCTCCCTATCAAAATATCGCTGGGAGATGGAGTTAGAAGTAGGCTAGAGGAGAAGCTTGGCTCGATATGTGGCTAATCTCTATCCTTCAAAAATAGCAGAGGCAAACCTGTTGGGAGAACTATCCTCCCATAGGGAGGTCCAACCCTATTTAATCTTGAATAATTGATGCCATTGGTGTGGGGTTAGAAAGTTAGCTAGGGTTAGAAAGTTCATGAGACTTGGGTTAAGAAGAGTGAGGGTACTATTTCCTCCTCAACATCTGATCCTGAAACATTTTGTATTTCCTCTACCCTGCCCGTTTCAGCACCTCAAATGCTTGTTTCAGCCTCTTCCCTAAACCTCAAGTCCTCCATGGTAGAGGACCTCACAAGTTATTATGTGTTCACCTAGGAATCCCCATCTCTGGAGTCCATATGGAGGTGCAACCTCATGGAGGGCATGTGATGGAAGGGCAGAAGCTGGTTCTTCTTTGCTCAGTAGTTGAAGGCTCAGGGGCCATCACATTCTCCTGGTACAGAGAGGGCACAGAAGCCATTCTGGGGAAGAAGACCTTGCGCTCATTGGTAGCAGAGTTTGTATTTTCTGCTGTGAGGAAGAGTGATGCTGGGAAATACTACTGCACAGCTGACCACAACAGTAGCCTTATTCCCAGCCATTCTGTGAGCATCACTGTGAGAAGTGAGTACCTCCATTCCTCTCCTTTCTTTTCTTCCCTCTCTTCCTCCTTCTCCCTTTTCCTTCTTCCTTCTTTCCCTCCTGGTGGCCCCCTGTTTCCCAGGGACTCATCATATTAGTGTGGACACCTGCTCAGTTTAACTTACTTGGCAGCTCAGAACTCCTGAGCTCCAATGATTTACTGACTTCCTCAGTAGCAGAAAGTGTAGGTTCATGCCACTACACCTGGCCTTCAGTCATTGTTTCTTAAATAGAGATGAAAGAGTCCTAGGGGATATGTTGGTGTTTAGACCATCTATTCCTTTACTAGACTTATGAAGATTCCTTAGGATACAAGCCATGGAGTTTGGTAATTACAGATATAAAATGTAACTGCAAAAATCCAGCTTATGGGGGAAAAAGTTTGCTTAGCAGTCCCTCAGTCAAACCCTTTCTTGGCCCAGATCCTTTCTTGGCACTTCAGTAAGTTTCCATTTTATTCTAGTTCCTCCCTGCTTCTACTCCCAACCCAAGCTGGGCTCCCATTGAACTCCCCTGTCCAACTTCTCTTTTCTAGTTGCCTCCTCTTTCAGTCCAGATTGAATTGTTCCTCAGATATTCTGAATTTCTTTGTTCCCAGGCATAAACTGAAAATGAAGAGATTCCAAGAAAAGAGATACCGATTGGATAATGTTTTTCCAAGATTCATCATCTCTAGAGTCCACATAGAACTTTAAGCACTAGGTCATATTCATCAGGCATAGAGAGAGCATTGGAGGTAGCCCAGGAAGGAAGACTTGGTGTTTACCAAAAGCAGATTTTGAATTCTTTGATGTGAAGGAGGGTGGTGGCAGCAAAATGAACTGACATTTTCCTTTTCTCCAACAATCCTCTGACTCCCTGGATTACCTGGGTTGCCCTTAGATTTTTGATCTGATGAAATCCTCAAGCTGACATTTTTACCTCTTGTAGACTCATTGAAGGCATCTTTGGGACTCTTCCAATGGCAGTCAGGACAACGGAGATAACTAGACCTCATTCCTTCCCCAATGTCTTCTGCTAAGCCCCAGAGGCCCTCTTGTGCCCTGCCTCTCAGACTTCTGTTCCACTTTTTATGCCACAGGGTTCCAGTCCAGATGAGGCAATAGGTCTTTTGCCCCAGGAGATTCTAGGTCCTGGGTTTCTCTTCTCTAAGGCTCATATTGTCCTCTGTGCCTGCAGGGAATGGAAGGGGCCCACTTGTGGCAGGAATCACCACGGCCCTGATCAGTGCTCTTGGGCTTACTACTGTTGCTCTTCTGGTTTACTGCAAGCACCAAAGGAAATCAGGTTTGTCACCCTTTGTTATTTTCCCTTTGTCACAGCCAGAGACAGAGTGGTACATACTGCACTAGAAGTCAACAGCCCTGGGTTTAAGGTCCAGCTCTGACACTCACAAGTTCCCTATACCAATGAAAGCACTGGATGAGTCCTTAGCCTATAGTTGAAGGAAGTGAGTTGCAGAGAGCTATCCTGGCTCCAAATCCTTCACCCTTTACACCATACCGTGCCAACTCTCTATAATGTAGTCCTTGCTCCTAACTTGCTTACCATCTAACAAATTATCCCCTCTGGAGGCAGTTAGTGGTTAGGCTGATACGTCTGGAGTCAGGAAGACCTAAGTTCAAAACCAACTTTAGACACTTAACTGTGACCTGGGCAAGTTACACACCCAAGTAATATTTGTAAAGTGCTTAGCATGGTACCTGGCCCATAGTAGATTTCATATAAATGCTCCTTCCCTTCCTTGAAAAGGAGGAGATTAAGCACAAAAGAGAGAACCTGCACAAGACACTATGGGAAATGTCAGGAGAGAGGGATCCTTTTTAGCTTGAAGAGGGAAGGAGGCATCATGAGAAGACTCCATGGCCTGGGCAGCAAAAGGGAGACCTTTCAAAAAGCTGAGAAGGGGGAGGAGCTCATTCTGGCATGTGGAGTAGCCTGGGCAAAGACACAGAGGTGGGAGATGGATAAACAAGGACTGGGGATGGGGAATAATTTGGCTGGAATGTAGGGTACATGAAAGGAACAATGTGATGGAAACCCAGTCTGGAACCTGATTATGTGGGGCCTTTCATGCCAGGATATGAAGATTATACTTTATTTGATAGGTAATGGGAAGCTGCTGAAGACCAGAGAGGACAGTCTGTAGAGGAATAATGACAACCTCAAGGAGGGTAGCTGCGTTTCAGTTTTGAGTTCTTTGTCCTCCCTCCATGTGAGGTGCTCCCTTAGAAGTTTAAAAAAAAAAACCTTCCTCAGGAAGATTTAGTTTGGGGTTATTTTTGCTTCTGAGCAGAGGGGAAGGGAAGGAGAATAAGCAGTTATCTAGTACCTACTATGTGCTAGGCTCTGTGTTAAGTGCTTTACAAATATCTCATTTGATTCTCACAACCCCAAAAGGTAGGTGCTGTTATTGTTCCCATTTCACAGTTGAGGAAAGGCAAACAGTTAAGTGACTTGCCCAGGGTAACACACTTAGTAAATGTTTGAGGTCTGATTTGAACTCAGGTCTTTCTGACTCTAGACCAGGCACTCTCTTCACCATGTACCTAACTGCCTCTTAGTCCTTTGGGGTTTTTGTGGTAATTACCACATGTTACTCTTTGAAGATCTCACCCTCAATTTCCCTAATTATTAAACAAACTGAGCTTGAACCTTCCTCTTCTTGTAATGTGATCATTTAAAAGAATATTAGAACTGGAAGGCACTTGGTCCAATATCCCCTCCTTCATTTGACAAATGAGGAGACTGAAACCCAGAAAAGTTATTTGCCCAAGATCACAGTCAGTACTGAGGTCGGGTCTTCTGACTTAAAGTCCAGCTAGCTCCATTTCTGATACTCTATGCTAGAAAAAAAAATCTCAGCACACACTTCAAGATTACAAGCTAAATAATATACTTTTCTAGGGAGAAATTTTTGATAAATTTTAAATGCAAATTATGAAAAAATACTAATTAAACTAGGGCATTGCTTGTTGTCTTTGAAGACTGATAATAGGGTGAAGAATCAATTTCAGCACCCAGTGGTCAGTCAACCAGCAAGAGCTTTCACAAAGGGAAGGGGGGTAATACTGACTATTCTGAGCCTCAACCCAGGAGCCATTTTCAGAGGTTGCAGAAGATGCCTTGATAGCTGGGGAATATGGTGACTTCTGCCTTGGGGTGTGATAGGATATTTTTGCATCTTAAAAGAAAGTATTAAAATTAATGAGTCATTTCTGTGGGAACTTCTGTTTGCTCTTCAGGGTTAATTTCACTTCCTCAATATGAGTATATTTTTCCAATCATTTCTGAGAAATGAGGGTCTACTTTGGGAACTATGGTCAAATGAGAAATATAGACAATTTAGTGGAATTTTGTGAGGAAGAATGAAACTGCAAATTGTGGGACAAAATATGATAATGTAATTGAGAAGATCTCTCCTTGGTCATCTGCTGTTGACATTTTATGCCTCAAAGAAGTCATAAACAGCAAGCTTGTCAAATTGTAGATGACAAGATGGGAGGGTGGGGTACCTAACATGTTGGGTATTAGAGCTCATGACAGGCTATATGATGGACCAGATCTAATTAGGTGGAATTTAATGGTGATAAATGTAAAATTCTTCATTTGTGATCAAGTAATCAACTTTACAAATAGAGGATGGAGGAGGCATAGCTAGAGCTGAAAGATATCTGGGTTTTTAAGCAGACTGCAATCTCAGAATGAGCCCAAAGTAGAGAGATTTCTAGTCCAGACATCCATTAGATTAGATGCTTTCTGCTATCCCTCCTGAGTCTGAGATTTTGTGATGACCTTCAATGGTAGGGAGCTCATTACTTTTCAAGGCAGGACATTTCCTCTTTTTACATCTCTCTAACTGACAAGAAGTTCTTCCTTGTGGCAAAGTGGATAGAGCATTGGCCCTGAAGTCAGGAGGACCCTCAGGTCAAATCCGGCCTCAGACCAAACACTTGACACTCACTAGCTGTGTGACCCTGGGCAAGTCACTTAATCCCAATTGCCTTAAAAAAAGAAAGAAGTTTTTCCTTATGTTGAATAAAAATCATCTGTAGTATGATTTCTGCTCATTGTTCCTGGTTCTAAACTCTAAAACCGATAGAAAATTGGTCAATAAAAACTACATAAAAATCTTTCAAAAGATATTTATTTCTCACTTCCTGCCACTCCACAACAAGGCTCCTTAGTTTCACTTTCTTTGTCTCTTACCTTTACTCCCTGACCCAGCCTGGGAAGACCTTGCTGGTGGTGCGAGCCTTACCATCACCATGTATTTTTTGCAACTCCAACTGAGTGGGAACATTTAATTCAATGGATTCTTGAGAGCTTTGGATGAAAGAATGCTATGAGACACAGAAAGACATTCTATTTTGGGGGACAATGACAGAACTGAATGTGACTGATGTGGTCAGGGGGAAAAAACCCTAGGAGAAAGGAGGATTGTAGTGACACAGGGCTTTAGGGAGCCAGTAGCCAAGAGGGCACAGAGAATTCTGGGTGATTTATGTGGTAATAACACCAAGTAGATTTTTTTCCCTTCAGTTTCCCACCTAGTGGTGGAACTAGCTCAAGAGGAGACTCGACTTGCTAGAGTAAGTCAGGAAAGCTGGGGCCAGGGACAGAGGATGAGCCCAAGCCAGGAAAACATGGCATCAGACACATATTAGCTGTGTGACCTATTGTAACCCACTTAATCTTTCAGTGCTTTAGGGCCAGGGGAGTCAAGCTCTGGGAAGCCCACAAAACTCCCAAGAACAGGCCCAATCAGATTAAAAAGTAATTGGAAAATGTTTAATGAAATAAATAAAAAGACAATATAACAGATAATGTTAATTTGTGATTTTATAACTTAATATGTGGCTAGCAGGGATCCATTTATATTTGAGTTTCTCAAACTCAAAATAATTGAGTTCAGACAGTTCTCCAAGACTATAAGTTGACCCTGTATCAGTGAAATCACAGGGTCCAGTCCCCATGCCTAGAAATTTGCAAATAGTGAAATTGACACTTCTCATTTTCAAGTCTATGCACATATACTGAGTGCCTGCTTTGTGCAGCCAGGTAGTGTGATGGGAATAACCACGACATCTGAGTACAAGAATTTGGGTTTGAGTTCAGGCTCTACCATTTACTTGTCTCTGTTATTTACTAACTTTGCACTCTTGGGCAAATCACGTAACGTCATTAAACCATAGCTTTTTTTTTTTAATCAATAAAATAGAGATAATCATTTTTGCATTGTCTAGTTCTCAGCATTTTAGAGAAGTTCAGATGAGATAGTATATGAGAAATACTTTTAAAGTCAGGGTCACAACCTTAATTATCACTTACCTGCCTTGACTATTTCAATAGGCTCCAAAGGGTCTTCCCACCTATATTTTCTCCCCAATCTCTTCCAACCTTCATATCACTGCTCCAGCAATCTTCCATAAATATAGATCTAGCTGGAAATAGTGATGTATATCTGTGGTTCTTGCTACTAGGGAAGGGAAGAGGGAGAAGAGTATTACTTGAGTCTGGGAATTCTGAGCTACAGGATGACTAACACCCAATTGGGTGCCACACTAAGTCTGGCACAATATGATGAGTCTTCAGAAACAGAGGGCCTTGAGGTCTGCCTAATGAGGAACCAAAAAACCCAAATCAGAAAAAAAAATAAATGGGAAGTTAAAGCTTACATGTCTATCGATAGTGGGACTGGCCTGTGAGTGGGTGTTGTGCTTCTTGCCTGGGCAAGATAGGGAGACTCAATCTCAATATATATTATACACACACACACACACACACACACACATACAAACTCAGAACTTCCAGCTTGAAATCTTTCAATGGCTCCTTATTAGGTAAAATTCAAATGCTTTTTGACTGACATTAAGGGTCATCCTCAATCTGGTCTCATCCTAACTTTCTATCCATCACCGGAATTAAGAAATGGAAATCTCTTCTGGGGTTAAGAGGGGCAGCATCTAAATCAGGATATAAGTAAATGCAAATGAAAAGGTCATGAAATGTTGGCAGTAGGGTTTCTTCAGGGCACCAAAATCCAACGGGCTAAGATAAGAGCTAGAAACCAGTAGAAGAAGTGGAGATTCAGGAGGAGGTTAGTTAATGTGATCTCTGGAGGCTAGAATGTGGGGAGCTGATGGTGATACCTGATCTGTTTCCCCAAAGCTTTGGCCTTTTCACGGCATCTGTGTGAACCTTCTGCCTCCAGTGGGTTCTGACGTGATGGTGTGATTAAAAGCAGGGTCCTCAATGCTGCCTCCTGACTTAGCTGGACCAAGAAGGCCACAGGCTTGAACATTAGTTTACATTAATTCCCTCCATGAATTCTACACTCAATCAAGCTGGACTGCTTACCATTTCAAACCACTCCTCATGCCTTCTTGTCTCTGTACCTTTGTTCATGCTACTAATTATGCTGAGGATACCCTCTTCCCTGGCTGATGAATTCTTCCTCATCCTTCAAAACCTATCTCAAGTGGTACCTCCTCCAGAAGTGGTCCCATATTTCCTCACTCAGTAATGACTTTTCAACCACATAGTACTATGCACCTTTCTCATGTAACCAATATGGATTGTTTTGTATTATAGGCATGTGCCATATCCACCTAATAGACCACAAACTCCATGAGGGCAGGGGCAGTGACTTATCTAAACTTGGCATCTCCCCTACGGCAGGGCCATGCACATAGTAGGTCCTTCATAAATGTCCAGTTTGTTGGCACATGTAGCAACCAGCCCATGGCCTTTGGGAGCTTAAAGTCTTATTGAGGAGACAAGATTCAGGCTTATGAAACAATTAGAGGACAATATAATAATTTACTGTGTAAGAACTTAATTTAGCTTGTAATCTTCTCAGGACCCAGTGAATTGACAAAGTAACACATGGCCAGCTGATTGCAAGTGCTTGAGCCTCCCAGTCATATGGTATACACACATACATATACATACATATATGTATATACATACGCATATATATTTATATATACACATACATATAGGCATTTTAGCACCCAGCACAGCCTTAACAAAATATATTTTGAGGAACCAGCATAAAACTCACCCTTAAATCAACGTTTTATAAATTCAGTTGGTTTGACTCAGAGGAATAGAATGAGAGAGATAGCATATATATATATGTATATATGTACATACATACGTACATATGTATATCTTTGTAAACTTTGTAAAGTGCTATGTAAATGCTAGCTATTATTATGACTAGAAGCGAATTGTAGAAGTTAGATAGAGTGGGCCTGGAGTCAGGAAAACCTGAATTCAAATCTAACCTCAGACACATACTAGCTATGTGATGCTGGGCAAGTCATTTAACCCCTGTCTGCCTCAGTTTCTTCCTTGGTAAAATGGGGTTAATAATAGCACCTACCTCCCAAGGTTGTTGTGTGGATCAAATGAGATAACATTTGTAAAGTACTTTGCAAACCTCAAAGTCTTATATAAATGCTAGTTATTATTAAACTTCAAGATACAAGGTTCAGTGTTGTGGAAGGACTGTACCTTTTAGTAGTTTACTATTTTAATAAATGAAATGATATACATATATATATACATGTATGTGTGTGTGTGTATAATCACTACAAAGCAATAATATTTATAAAGTGCCTGAAACACCATAGACCCTTGATAAATGTTTGTCTCCCTCCCCCAACTAATTATTTTTGCTAAGTAGGTGCTAAACTCAGTTGTTTCTAAAAGAATTGCAGTTTTTTCAGTGCCCCCTAAATTTTGGTGCCTTAGGGGAAAGCCCCAGTTGAACTGAAGTAGTTGCAGATCTGCCAGAGAGACAACATCTATTGACACATTCTTCTACTTTGCTTTTCAGGGGAAAATTCTTCCACAGACTTGGCCAGGTGAGGCTCTACCTTTTCCTGCTACTGTATTTTTTAAGGTGTTCACAGCACAGAAATACGGAATTTAGTCCAGCAACTCCTGTTTATCTCAGCGACTGGACATGTCTTGTTCCTGTCTTAACACCCCTTGGATGTATAAAATCCATTTCTTGGATACCAAGCTCCTCCCACCTTCTCCCTCTCCCACTCAGTCCCGGTGGCATACATTTTCTGTATGCTGCTTGCACCTGGTGTTAATATAGTATTTATTTCTTTGACTCACTGGCCTATTCAATGCTATCCCTTTATCTATGTATCTTCTGTCCACGTTAGTGACTCAGGCTACGGGTTATAATCCCACCAGACTTCTCACCACTCATAGCATGATCTGTATTTATTTAACTCACTCTAAGCATCCAGGATCAAGCCCAGGCATATGCTGAGTTAAAGTCTTTTGAGAATAATGTCATCTACTTACCTCCCCTCTCAAGGGGATGAGAAGCTGCAATGTGACTAAATGGACCTCACTGTCTGGCCCCTTGCCCCAAGCTGCCTGATCTACTCCAACCAACGCTACCATTAAGTGAAAACCTGAAGGGGGAAAAATCTGCTTGGTGTTATCACCCTATAAATCACCCAGAATTCTCTGTGCCCTCTTGGTTGCTGGTTTCCCTAAAGCCCAGTGTCACTACAATTCTCCTTTCAGGGTTTTTCCCCTGACTGCATCATTCACATTTAGTTCTGTCATTGTCTCCCAAAATAGCATGTCTTTCTGTGTCTCACAGCAGCCCTCCCATCCAAATGTCCCAAGAAACCATGGAATCAAATGCACCCACTCGGTTGGAGCTGCAAGAAATACATAGTGATGGTAAGGCTCATACAATCAGCAAGTTCTTCCCAAGGTGGGCTCAGAGAGGAGGAGGAAAGAAGGAAAGGGAAACTGAGGAGCCTTGTTGAGAAGTGGAGGGGGAGGATAAATGAATATTATCCTTTAAAAAGACTTTCATGTGGTATTGACCAATTGTACACTGGTCTTAGAGTATAGAACCAGGAACAATGGGTAGAAATCTTACTGTGGATGGTTTTTATTCAACATAAAGGAAAACTTTTTTGTTAGTTACAGAGATATAAAGAAAATAAAATGCATTGCCTTGAAAGGTAGTGAGATCCCCAATATCATCACAAAATCTCAGAATTGGAAAGGATATCAGAGGGCATTGAATCTAATATATATATAAACTAGAAATCTCTCTTTAACTCAATAAATAATCATCAGATTTTATCTGCAGAACTCCGAGGTGGAACCTACTACCCTACTACTTCCTGAGGCAGGCCATTCCATGTTTAAACAGAGAAGGAAAGCCTAAGATTCCCTTCCCCATTAAATTTCCTCTTATTAGGTTTGGCTCAATGTTCTAGCACTGTTTGGTATATTTCATTCAGGTAAAGGGTTGGAGAAGAATACATTTCTGATGTCCAACCCTAAGATTCTATGAATGTGAGGTAAGTCCTGTAAGGTCTTTCTAACCACCTCAAATTTGAATCGTCAGGGAGTTGACTGGGAAAAAAATCCAGTAGCCTCCTAGACAATCTCATTTTCTATTCCAGAGACTCCTGTTATTGGAGATGTGGTCTATTCAGAGGTCTGGAGTACACAGCAGGGAAAAGAAGGTGCAGGTGAGAGACTGGGAGTAGCTATGACTAAAGAGTGTTTTTATTGGAGCTTAGAGCACAGACTTGTATGAGTAGATATTGACATCCTTCAGTTGCTTCTCAAGGTGGTAGATATGACTGGTGTGCCCATGTGAGAACTGTCCTCTGCTCTGCTACCTACCTCCCTGTACACACTCTGCGTGTCTGAGCTTCTTTGCTGCCTCACCCTTTCCCTTGTGCCTGCCTCTGCTTCCTCAGCCACCCTTCTATCACTTGCTATGTGTGGTAGCACAGACTGGGAATCTGTCACTTGGTACACATGATATATCCTTGCCTGTCCTACATGAGCTTAGCTTACAGTAAAGTAGCCACAGAGCTGTTTTCCTAGGCTACTGAAGTTCATCATTCCCTCATGGCCTGACCAGCAGAACTGTGCAGACAGAAGAATATACCCACCGACTCTTCTATTCTGGGGGACTGGCTGCATTCTCTATGCATTATGTTAACATTCATTTTTTAAAATATTGAGTTCTGGGGCAGCTAAGTGGCCTAGAGGATAGAGCACTGGACCTGAAGTCAGGAGGACCTGAGTTCAAATCCAGCCTCAGACCTAACATTTGACACTTACTAGCTGTGTGACCCTGGGCAAATCACTTAACCCCAATTGCCTAAAAATAAAATAATGAGTTCCAAATTTTCTCCCTCTCTCTAGCCCCTCCCCCACCCATTGAGAAGGCGAGCAATATGATATCAATTATACAAGTGAAGTCTTGCAAAACATATTTCCATATTAGCCAGACTGACTACATCATAGGCAATTTTTGCTTTTGGCCTTCTGTCAGGACCTAGTCAAGGAGCTCCCTCCAGGTCCCTTTGGTAGAAAGTTAGGGAGCCACATAGATTTCTCTATCTTTGTTACTGTCTTACTGGAAAACAGTTATGGAACTTGGAGGCCTACCTGAACCCCTGTTTGGCCTCCAGTTTCTAGAGTATATATTGAAGAGAATCAAACTTGTCCCCTTCCTCTCACTGTAGTCCCTTTCCATAGAATAGTGCTAATGGGCAAATTAAGAGCTACAAGGTGTTTTTGGGTTTGCATCAGGGGAAGTTTCTGATCATGGGTGAGGTTTTTTTCTTTTTTACAATTAATGGAGAACACCAATAGACAGCAATTAAAGGTGGCACTGGTTAGGAAATTCTCATTATCACATAAACAAGATGCTAAAATGTGAAGGCAAGAATCAGGGATTAGAAGAAGAAAAAACTTTGTTAATGGAATATCAGGAGATTGATTTTCTGTGTCTATGGAATCTTGGTAAGGACTTAGCAAAAGGTGGGTTAAAGGATGGATAAAACAGAAAGCTGAGACTATCGGAACAGGAATAGAAGTAGAAGAAAGGAATAGCCTTTTAAAGAAAGATGACAGTGACCAATGGAAAAGGTCCATTGTATCCTGAGCTCTTGGATAATATGAGATCTAAGACGGAACATTATTACTTTCACTTAACTTCCCTCTTCTCTCCACAGCAGATGCCTCAGGGAAGCCTCCAGATGACAAGGTGAGTCACATTCCTTGGTTTCCCAATCCCATTCCCTTTCTCTCCCTTCTCTAGGGCTTTACATTTGTATTTTGTTTCCCAGGACAACTCAGTGATCTACTCTGTAGTGAAGAATGAAGAAGCTCAAGGAGACTCAACTGGAAATTCCCAGACTGTGAATGAGAGCAATAGAGCTACTCCCACTGGCTTTTAAAATGTCCTGCTCTCATCACCAATCCATGAGCCGTGGGTTCACACTTGGCACATTCTTTAAAGATCTTCAAGGTCTGTTACTTCACCTGTCCTTTCAAGATTCCTCTTTCATCTATTCCATGGAGAAGCTGGCACAGTCATGAGAAAATGTAGGCAGGAGGTCCAGGACTCCAGAGAGAACCCATGACTTTTCATTTCATGCTTTTCTGACCTGTGTCTGCTCTGTTGTGTTCCTGAAGGGCTGAAGACATTGAAGCAGAGGTGCCTCATTGGGGAAACTGATATAAAGGCACACCCATATATATACACATATGCACACATATATTTATATATGTGTATATGTATACACTGGAGAGGGAAATGGCAAACCACTCCAGTATCTTTGCCAAGAAAACTCCAAATGTGTTATGAAGAGTTGGACATGACTGAAATGGATGAATAAGAAAAAATGTGTATACACATATAATAATAAGAAGCACACACACAATAATACTTGCATAATATATATAGACACATAATAATAATACGAAGCACATGATAAATACCATAGGATAGTATAGAACTTGGATCTGAGATTTCATTGACATAGGGAACTCCCAGATGAGGAAATTCCTTCTACCAATTCAAATCAGCTCTTTCTCAGCATATATATGTAGATCTACATTTACATCTATAGATATATAAACACTTTCAGATTTTCCCTCCTGTTCATTGGTACTGTTCTGGGTATTTTTTCCCATCAGCCATTACCTTCTTTTGAGTTTGGTGATCCACCTTACAGTACTACTAATGTATGAATTTTTACTTGTAAAAGTAGTGATCAAGTCTATATCATTGTCATCATTATTATTGCCATTGTATCATCATGATTCCTTATTGTATTCTGAAGCTGGAAATATAACCCCACTCCCCATTTTGGGAGCCTCCTTTTTAAGCAGAAGAAATATTTATATTAAGTATGGTTTATCATAATCTTTTAAAAATTTTTTATGGTTTATTGTAATTTTTTTGCTTGAATGTTGAGCTAATAGTTGTTGCAGCCCCATAAATTTGTTTTCCAAAAGTGTAACTGGTGTTTTGTTCTTTTCTCATGATTTATGTAAAAGTTCTTGCCCCACTCCCACTCTTAAGCTAACACTAATTCTCGTCAAGGTTGTTCTCAGGTAATTTATTAGTGCTGAAGCAGAGCAGACTGACAATCCTGAGATGATCGTTACCTCCCAAAGTCACTGACTGCATATCATCTGTAGGTTAGTAATGGGAAGCAGGTCTCTAAATTTTCTGATCAGAAAGCAAGTTCCTGCATCAGAGGCCACTGAGCGTCCTGAATGTACGTCAAGACTGAGTTGCGAGGGGGCGGAGCCAAGATGACGGGGAGTAAAAGCAGTGACTTGCTGGAGCTCTCCCCCAAACCCCTCCAAATACCTATGAAAAAAGACTCTAAACAAATTCTAAAGCAGCAGAACCCACAAAAAGACAGAATGAAACAAATTTCCAGCCCAGAAAGGTATATTGCGCTGGGCTGGGGAGAGGAACGCAGTTAGGCATGGGCATGCAGGCCACAGTGAACCTGGACAGGCCTCAGAGGACTGAATCACAAGCAACTGTGGCAGTTTCCAGACTTCTCTACCCATGAAGGCCAAAGACAACTTAGAAGGTCAGTGGGAAAAGTCTGTTTCTGTGGTGGTGAGATAGAAGCATGGTGGGGTTCCAACCCCATTCCCTGAGCTTAGCCCTGGGGTGGCGGCTGCCTCCTGAGCTTCAGGCCCACAGACTGAGGGGGAATCAAGTGGCTGATAGAGGGGATTGCAGGGATCCCTTTGCTGGTGCAGGATTCTTTTGCTTTGCCCATGCTTGGATCTGGATCACAGTTCTGGGTGGCGATTCTGGGGCGAGGAAGAGCACTGGTGTGGTGGAGCTTGTGGTAGAGCTTGTAGTGGCCATGGAGAGGAAGTCCCCACAGTTCCAAGACAGAAAAGAGTGCTTGTGGTCACTCATAGACCAGAGCACAGGCCAGGAAAGGAGTAAACACCTCACCCTTGATCATAGCATCTTGGAAGAACTGAAAATTTACATGTCCCTAGAAATATCTCTGAAACAGCTGCACAAAACCCCTGAAGCTTTGGATAGTACATTCTCCACACTGGAAACAGACCCCTACCTTAAGAAAGAGTTTATAACTCAAGTAATTGGCCGGGATCATGGGCAAGCAGAGCAAAAAGAGTCAGACTATATTATCTTACTTTGGTGACAAAGAAGATCAAAACACATAACCAGAAGAAGACAACAAAGCCAAAGCTCCTACATTCAAAGCCTCAAAGAAAAATATGAATTGGTCCCAGGCCATGGAAGAACTCAAAAAGGATTTTGAGAAGTAAGTAAGAAAAGTAGAGGAAAAACTGGGAGTGATGCTAAAGGAGACCCAAAAAAATACTGAAGAAAATAACATGTTAAAAAATAGCCTAACCCAAATGGCAAAAGAGGTCCAAAAAGCCAATGAGGAGAAGAATGCCCTAAAAAGCAAAATTGGCCAAATGGAAAAGGAAGTCCAAAAACTTACTGAAGAAAATACTTCCTTAAAAATTAGAATGGAGAAATTAGAAGCTAGTGACAATTTGAGAAATCAAGGCACTGTAACACTAATCCAAAAGAATGAAAAAATAGAAGAGAATGTGAAATATCTCATTGGAAAAACAACTGACCTGGAAAATAGATCTAGGATAGAGAACTTAAAAATTATTGGACTATCTGAAAGCCATGATCAAAAAAAGAGCCTACACATCATCTTTCAAGAAATTATCAAGGAAAACTGCCTTGATATTATAGAACCAGAGGGCAAAATAGAAATTGAAAGAATCCACCAATCTCCTCCTGAAAGAGATCCCCAAAGGAAAACTCCTAGGAATATTGTAGCCAAATTCCAGAGTTCCCAGGTCAAGGAGAAAACATTGCAAGCAGCCAGAAAGAAACAATTCAAGTATTGTGGAAACACAATCAGGATAACACAAGATTTAGCAGCTTCTACATTAAGGGACAGGAGGGCATGGAGTATGATATTCTGGAGGGCAAAGGAGATAGGATTACAACCAAGAATCACCTATGCAGCAAAACTGAGTATAATCCTTCAAGGTAAAAAATGGTCATTCAATGAAATAGGGGGGACTTTCAAGCATTCCTGAGGAAAAGACCAGAGCTGAATAGAAAATTTGACTTTCAAATACAAGACTCAAGTGAAACATGGAAGAGGTAAATAGGAAAGAGAAATCATAAGAGACTTATTAAGGTTGAACTGTTAACATTCCTGCAGGGAAAGATGACATTTGTAACTCATGAATACTTTGTCAGTATTAGGATAATGGGAGGGAAAAAAATTACATGTATGTATAGATAGATAGATAGATAGATAGATAGATAGATAGATAGATAAATAGATAGACAGATAGATAGATAGAGGGCACAGGGTGAGTTGAAGATGAAGGGGTGATATCTGGAAAATAAAATTAAGGGATGAGAGAGGATTATACTGGGAGAAGGAGAAAGGGAGAAGTAGAATGGGGTAAATTGTCTCACATGAAACAGACAAGAAAAGGCTTTTACAGTGGAGGGGAAACGGGGGAAGGTGAGAGGGAATGAGTGAATCCTATTCTCATAGGATTTGGCTTAAGGAGGGAATAACATACACAATGGGGTATGGAAATCTATCTTACCATACAGGAAAATAAGGGGGAAAGAGGACAAGAGAGCAGGGGGTTGATAGAGGAGAGGGCACATTGGGGGAGGGGATAATCAAAAGCAAACACTTCTGAAGAGGAACAGGGTCAAAAGAGAGAATAGAATAAATGGGGGGTAGGATAGGATGAAGGGAAATATACTTAGTTTTTCACAACAGAAATACTATGGAAGTGTTTTGCATGACTACACATCTATAACCTGTATCGAGATGCTTGCCTTTTCAATGAGGGTGGATGGGGAGGGAGGAAAGGAGAAAATTTTTCACCCAAAGTTTTAAAAACATATGTTAAAAAAAAAAAGACTGAGTTGCCCCAAAGACCAATTAAGATTGTGGGAAAAAAGACCATCCTTGAGTCTGTAGGTGCCTTGGGCAATTAATGCTTCAAAAAGAATGTCCTTTAGTTCAGGCTGATGCACCATGGCCAATTAGCATTTGTAAATTTTTTAGAACACTTGATCAAGTTCCTTGCAAATGAAAAGCAAACAACTTCAGAAATGGAGCATTTTCTCTACATAAACAAGAGCAATCCAGCCTCAAGTAGCCTTGTTGCCACAGACAGGTCCTTTGACCCTCCCACAGATGCTGGTGCATATGTTTGGCCTAGAGAAATCTGGTGGAGGCATAGAAACTTTACAGGCTTGAGAGGACTATGTCCCTCATTTGGAAGCACTCACTGAGGGGAGCTTGCAGCATTCATGCTCCCTGCATTTGCTGTTCATCCAGAATTAAGTTTTTGTTGTTGTTGTTGTTGTTGTTGTTTAGTAGTTTTTCAATTGTGTCTGACTCTTTGTGACCCCTTTTGGGTTTTTTTTTGGCAAAGATACTGGAATGGTTTGCCGTTTCCTTCTCTAGCTCATTTTACAGATGAGAAGGCTGAGGCAAACAGGGTTAAGTGACTTGCCCAGGTCACACAGCTAGTAAGTGTTTGGGGAAGGATTTGAACTCAGGTCTTCCTGACTTTAGCACCAGCATTCTATCCACCATGCCACCTAGCTGCCTGAGATCAAATCAGCCATAACTTATTTCCTGAGATATTTCCTATCATTCAATCAACTCCATTGGAATATGCACGAGCTGTATGCTGTGTTTTATTTTCATTGTTTTGTGCCATGAAAGTAATGGTTATCAGCTCATCATCCATTTAGAGAACATTTGCTACTAATTGTTGGGTGATAGGAGGGAGATCCTGATGCCACTTATGGAATTAACCTTCTAAATTTAGGACAGGTGCTATGAAAGAAACATAGGGCCAGAAATGAAGACCAGCTTAGTCCATGAAACCCTTCCCATCAGAGGCAGCATGATCCAATGGAAATATCACTGATCAGGATCTAGTTGTATCCCAGTTCTGTTATTGTATGATCCTGGGGTAGTCACTTCTCCTTGGGCCTGTGTGGGACAAAAGACCACCTACCCAAATTTGAATCAGAGTCTTGACAAGAATTTGCAAAAAGGAAAGCTGCTTTATTGGCTTTCTCGAGAAAGGACACCGCTGTGTTGCCCAAAATGGCATCAGCCAGAGAGTGCAAGAGTGCTTTGTTCAAAATAGGTTTATATAGATCCTAGTGCAATAACCCACCCTAACCCCCTCCCTTTGGCCCATTGGCTGAGCCTCAGAGGCACAATCTATTCGAGTAAATCTTCCCCAGCAATGAAGAGAACAAAGGATTACAGTAAGCGCAACAGGTTCCCCTTTTGGGGCCTTATGACTTCAGTGTACCACCCAAGGTCATGTAGCTAAAGGATGAGATAAACAGAATACACTATAGTTCAGGAATTTCTGCTTATACAACTAAAGAAAAGAAAAAAAAGGGGGGGATGATCATGTTCTTAGGGGTCTTCACTGATACTGGCACCCACATACCACTCAATCCCTCCTCTTCATTTGTTACTCTCTGAAGACCCCTCACACCAGTCTTTGTATGCTTCCTGAATCAAATCCCTCCCTTTGGGGTCCTGGCATTCCTCAGTTTCCACTGGAACCCAGCCTTGTCCTTTTAGCATCATGAGCCATACAGACCCTTCTGCTTTCCCTTCAAGTCTAACTATTCTGGACACAGTGTCTTGTACTGTTTTAGTTATCAATTGCATCATGCATGGGAGGCAAACTGGGAGGAGTATTATTCTACTAATTGCAATAAGGGCAAACCAAAGGACCTGCTTCCACCAAGAACTCCTGAACCAGGATCACCAAGAAGTATTGAAAGGGGAGGTCCAGGTTTGTACTGGTACATGTGCCAGTTTTCTAATGTTGCTAGTGATATCTTTCACTATTTTTCCATTGTCATCAATTTTCATACAATTTGACAGATTTAGTTTTCTACAGACACCTTCCTCTTCTGCTAAGAGGTAATCCAGTACTGATCTATGTTGCAGGACTGCCTCCCTGGTTTGGGTGGCTTGATCTGCTAATAAGTCCAAAGCCTTTGCTGTCTGATTCATTGTTATTTCCACTACAGCCTGTAATCTAATTAATCTGTTGAAGATATATATGGGGGTCTTATACCCCCAACTACCATCCTGGGCCCAAGTAGCTGGACCATATGTCTTAATTATTCTTTCAGGGGGCCAAGTGTCTCCCCATCCATTAGCATCACCTGTACTGGTCAGGGAGGTGTCAATACTCCTACTTCTGTCCAAACTTAACTCCTAAGAAACCTCCCATCTGCCCTGACAAAAAGAAAAGCTTTGGTCAGACAAACCTGATGTAACAATTCCCTGTCCAATCTGTGGGTAAATGGGTGTAGAACTGTCTTAGCCTTGTGGGGTCCCTCCATTCAAGGGTTTGGTGCTTTAGCCAGTGTCTGGAACTTGACCAATTCCAGGTCCAAGGGATGATGCGTTGTGGTCTCAGACAGAGGTTGGCATGCAGCCTGAGCAGTCATCTGGAAGTGGAGGGCACTAAGCCTAGAGGAGACAAATCTGGCAAGGAGATTAAGCAGACAAGGGCCAAAAATAAGTAAAAGGAATATACTAAGGTTTTCATGGATGTCTCACATCGAGGTTTTACTTTCTCTAGTCCTATTGAGCTCCACCTTTTGGGAGTTGTTAATCTCCAATTATCCAGGATCACATTTGCCAGGGAATCCAGAGGTTGCTGAATGTCCTGGAGACTATAAGCTGTATCATTTGCCAATTGATGGATGGTCCATTGTGCTCATGTCTTTTACTGACCACTTGCTCTGATCAGAGAAATCTATTAAAAGAAAAGGCAGGGACATGTGACATAGCTCTGTTTGAATTCAGTTAAGAGTCACAGTTCTCCAATCATGCAGTATCAATTCCACGTCATAGCCAGACTCAGGAATAGTTAGGTGAGAAACATTCCTTCTCAAAGGAACATAATGGGGAAACTGAGCCAGGAGGGTCCCATCCTAGACTGATACTAAGATTGTCCTCACGGCTTTTTCCCAAATGCAGACCTTCACCTGTTAACAGTATAGGATCACATTCCCTCTGAGTAGCTTGTGGCATTTCTCTCAGACACTGATTTAATGCAGACAACTATACCCAAATTCAAACTCAAAACAAAATTAGTTATAGTCCCAAAAGCCTTTTACCTCAAACAGCAAGTTTCACTAATCACAGCTTAAAGCCAGATTCAGTTAATTTTACTCTCATGGAGTTGCAATAAGCAATGAAGATTTACCAAGACTCACATACATATGAGATTTCACATAACATCTTTGTTTCTCAAATTTTAAACTTGTCCTGGTGTAAAAGTCAATTGTTAGAAATCATTTCTATCTATTGTACATAAACTTGCAACTTCTCAGCAAGCCAAGTTCATTGTTTAGTAACTGCATAAAACAAACAAGTTCTTTTCTTTGGGCAGATGACCTTGCCCACACAGATGGTTTCCAGGGACTTTCACAAGTTTACAAAATAAGAGGAATTGCCTTGTACCCCAGGGAGGGGCTGATCCTGGTGCCCTTGCCTGCTGACCCCCATAACCCAAGGAGGACTGTTTTGAATGGACCAATCTGGATAAGGCTTTTACCCAATCCCCTCCTTTTCACACGCAGTAATCAATTAACAATTCTAGGTTTTAACATTAAAACAGTAACTTCAAATAACTTAGTTAACAATCTTATAACTTTCATAAGTGACAACACAAATTGTTTTAGCTATAACCCCTTCATTAATTATAGGTAAAGGTGGAAATACCTGATTTTCTAAATGGCAGTTATAAGGTATTATAAGACAAGGTTAGCAGGGCTGATAAAGTAATATAGCTGGTTTTACACAATTTTTCCACCATCCTTTAGTTTCTTTCAGTTCACACTTTAATACCATCCAAATTGTTAAAAGCTGATTGACATAACAATACAAACATTTACCAATTTGAAACAATACTAGGTGTTTAAAACTTCAAACACACACATTACCAATCAGGTAACTCCAATTCTGTTGAATGCATTTCCTAATTTCCTTACATAGAAAATCGGGCATTTCTTCACCATTGGCATTGTATACTGGTAACATCTAATTAAGGAACTAAAAATAATAATTAACATTCATAGTGTCTGCCCTCTGCAAGGCATTCTGTTGGGTACCTTCCAGTCATGTGAGATAAACTGATGTAACTTGCTTAATATCACCCAGTTAACAAATTTCAGGTCCACACATTTTCCCAATTTCAGTTGAACATCAATTGCATTTCCATATTATCACATGTAGAAATTATCACTCTTATTACTCTTAGCATTTTTAACAATTACATTAAATAATAAACAGTGCCACTTCTAACATATGCCATAAGCATTTTGCAATCATCATTCTTTTTTTCCCATAATAACCATTATTTTTATTTTCTTTATAGAACAGTAAACTTAAATCCAATAAGATCCTAATTTATAATCACTAATGATAAAGATTTAAAAGTATTTGTTTTAAATCCAAAGCTCTTGGCCCTTTAAAAGGAAATATTTTCCACAAATTTATATATCCTCTTAAAAAGATACATGTAAATAATTCCAGCTCTAAACAGTTATCTCCTTTTTCCTTTCCTACTTCCTTAAGGGAGCAAAGAAAAAGTCCCCAGTCCTTTTTAGCAACTTATCAGATAGAGCCACCCACCTGAGAATCTCAGGCTTCAGCAATTTGAATCAATGTTAACTGGACATAATCAATTTTCTCCCCTTAGGCAGAAAGCCTCTAGAGTTCCAATAAGTAATTGAACAGCCCAGTTTATGTAACAATCTCCAATCATAATGAGCTGCAAAATTTTCATTTTCGATTCTTCTACCCAAAGCAGAGTCAAACTTCCTCACGTTTTTAAAACCCCTTGAAGTCACCCAGAACCAATATCCAAGGATGGCTTACCTCAAAACACCCTTCCCCCACCCAAATTACACTGGGGCAGCTTTGAACTCTGAAGGGACATAAGAATCGCAAATCCAGAGAAAAGCACTCTCCCCCCTTTCCCCAAATAATGTTAAACACTTTGCCCCTATACCAGACACATTGGCAGGAGGGATAAATCCTTATCAGTAAAGGCTGCTTGCTGCACCTTCCACTAACTTCTGAGATTCTCTCTGCCTTTTTTCATTCTAATCTCAATCTCCCCCAGAAAGCCTGAGGGGAGCTCTTTCCTACTATTACTTTTCCAATCTCAGACCTCAAAAATTACCCAAAAATTTTTATGGCAGACAATAAACATCCAAAAGAAAGACAGATAGACAATGTGTGCATGACTCTTAATTCTAACCTTGACTGGTCAAAAGAAACTCATTTTGCCCCACGGTCCCCTTTGAATGGGTTCTGAGGTTTGTTTGTTTGTTTGTTTTTTACTTGACTTAAGAATATACCCGCGCTGTTGGGGCTATAGCCCCTGGGACCCAGCAACCAGCATAACCTTTTTCTTCTTGAGAGGGCTCTCTCTTATCATTTACATACAAATTTAGACTTTAGTGCCAAACAGTATAATAAATTCAATTCTGACTTAAGCATTAAATTAAGAGCATCACATTTCATTTAAAATATTACCAGAATGAATGAAATTACCTTTTGACTGTATTCCGGTACACAAAAAACTTTTCTCTTTTATGTGAGGCAGGAAAGATTAAGTGCTACCTCTCTTTTTGATCTGAGGGGAAAAGGTTCCCCTTTTCTTTCTTGTCTTTCCCTCCACATTCAAAACTTGGCCATAGTTAGAATGTAGAGAAAGAGGTTTTTTTTGTAGTTGTTGTTCCAACAATTCTTCAAAGTTTCCAACTCTTTTACTTTCAAACCCTCTGTTCACACTGTTCATGAAAATAGCTTATACTTTTCTTTCTACCCATACATCTCTCATTCCTACATGCTTAAACTTTCTTGCCTTTCCTTCTGATGGACTTTGATTAAAGTCCCTTTAAAACTGCACATATCTTATTTCTTTCTAATCCTGATCTGATGCTTTGAGAATCCTTCTTGACTTGCCTTTTACCAATCATCCTAAATAATAAAGTATTTGTCTCTCTTTCTCTCGCCCATCCACTCACTCCTCTGAGGCTGCTGTAATCAGGGAGGGAGAGAAGAGAGAAAGAAAGAAAACATTTTTCCAAGCAATAAATCCAGCTGCAGCTCTTAGAAGCTACCCTTTCTGGCTAGGGTTTTTATACCTTTCAGGGTTTCAGATTACACAGACACTCACTCGCTCAGACAAATGACAGATAGAAACAAAGTCATGAAACAAATCTTGTTTATATTTTCTTGTCCTTTTATGTTTTGATAGTGCACTCAATTACTCAATCTGTTCCCTATATTTTTGGTAATTCAGCCCAATCGCTAAACCCAACCATTAAGGAACTATCTTCCAGAATATGTGGTAAAGGATCCTGATCTTTGCCACCCTGAGCTTTAGAATTCATTTTCCCCATGCCTTACGGACTCGAACTGCTTAGGCTGTCTGGAAAATGTGGGACCACTCTTACAGACTCAAACTGCTTAGAGCTTCCCTTTCCACCCGACCCTGTGCCTTATGGACTCGAACCGCTTATGTGTACAAAGGACTCATGGGTCTTGCTTATCTGGGTCTGTGTGCACAAACTTACTTGACAGCTTCAGTTTCACTGGTGGCTCGATGATTTCTTCGCTGGCACAGTAGAGCTCTGTTACTTTTGTTTTTGCCCAGTCAAGACCCTCTTCGGGACTTTTCCTCACCAAAGGGGGATCTCAAGATACCAACCCAGGGACCACCAGAAATCACTGGCGAGACGCCTGTCCCTGGTGGGAGTCAAGAGAATTTCTAAGGAAAGGGTTTATCCCAGAGGAGCCCCCAGAAACTGTGTAGGACAATAGACCACCTACCCAAATTTGAATCAGAGTCTTGACAAGAATTTGCAAAAAGGAAAGCTGCTTTATTGGCTTTCTCGAGAAAGGACACCCCTGTGTTGCCCAAAATGGTGTCAGCCAGAGAGTGCAAGAGTGCTTTGTTCAAAATAGGTTTATATAGATCCTAGTGCAATAGCCCACCCTAACCCCCTCCCTTTGGCCCATTGGCTGAGCCTCAGAGGCACAATCTATTCGAGTAAATCTTCCCCAGCAACGAAGAGAACAAAGGATTACAGTAAGCACAACAGGTTCCCCTTTTGGGGCCTTATGACTTCAGTGTACTATCCAAGGTCATGTAGCTAAAGGATGAGATAAACAGAATACACTATAATTCAGGAATTTCTGCTTACACAACTAAAGAAAAGAAAAAAAGGGGAGAGGATCATGTCCTGGGTGGTCTTCACTGATACTGGTACCCACTTACCACTCACTCAGTTCCTCATATGTGAAATGAGACGGTTGAGCAAGATGGCCTGGAAGTTTCCTTCCATCTGTAAACATCTTATAATCCTATGACCACCAAGACATTCGAGGGTCCAGATAACAATCAATCACATTTCCATAGGTCTTAGAATTTGCAAAGTGCTTTTCTCAAAATATGCCTTTGAGGCAAGAGTGTGAATGTTATCATACCCAATTTACAGAGGAGGAAAGTGAAGGGGTGTGTGTGTGTGTGTGTGTGTGTGTGTGTGTGTGTGTGTGTGTGTGAGAAATGATTTGCAAGAGGCATTCCAGAAGCTAAAAAGGAAGTTCATTGTTATCATACCCCTCTTCCTCCTCCCCCAACCACCACTTCCTACTACTACAATATCCTCTTGTGGTTGGAAGCAGTGCCTCAGAAATAATAATAATAATGGCTATGTTTTATAGAAGAAGCTTAGACCAGTTTGTTGTGACTTTTTGCCTACTATACAGGAAAATATTAGGGTGAGAGAGCAATTATCCCACTTGGGGACAAGAATTGCTAACTGTCAAAGCATCCTTTGTTCTGGCATTTAAAAAATCTGGTTAAATTTTTTCAATGAACAAAAATCTACTTTTTTTACCTTCTACCTTCCCACTGTTCCCCCCTTGAAAAAGAAAGAAAAACAAAACTCTTGTCACAAATATACATAGTAAAGGAAAACAAATTCCCTCAATGGCACTGACCCTTCCAAAAGTCTCTATTACCTCTCTGTCAGTTGATGGCACATTTCATCATGACTCCTCTGGAATGAAAATCAGTCATTGCATTGATCAGAGTTCCCAAGGCATCCTTTGAAGAATAATAATATCATATTTTAAAAAATTATTTGTGTCTTTTATTTCCCCCCAAAATAATTTCTCCTTAAATTTATGAATCCTTCCTTGTGACAAAGAAAACTATTTTTGCCAACTCAGCCAAACACGGGTTGTGACTGACAGTGGGTGACATTCTTCAAGCATAGTCCCTTACCTTTCTACTGAAAACATCATTTGTTTCATTATCAGTTCTCAAGATTTAAAATTATTCATTCCAATTCATTAGTGTTTAGCTTCCTTATAGAGATGTTATTACTTACATGATTGTGGTTATTTTGAATATCTTGGTTTTGTTTTCTTCATACAGATCTTTCCATATTTTTCTGGATTATTTACAAAGAATATTTATTATGGTTTAGTAATATTCCACTACATTTATATTCCAAAATGTGTATGGCAATACCACATTGAAGAACTGCAATAGACAATTGCTGTCCATATCGTCCATCTGTAAGCTAAGCCAGCACCAAATCCAGTGGGTCCTGTCTTTTATCAATTAATATTTTTTGCATGTGTTAACACTTTTTATACTAGACTTCCTGTGTTCATATATGCAAAAACTGGTAGGGTAGAATGCAGCTAAATTATTTTAGGTTGTGTAAGACCATTTTATAAATATTTTAAGATACTCAACACTGTAGTTTAGAGAGCATTTGACTTTAGAATTAAATTTTTCCAAGAATGCCACTGAGAAAGAGACTAACCTAACTACAAAGCTGGAGGATAAGGTATTTGAGTATATCAAAGATCCAGAATAGTTTCATAATATGTCTGTTCATTCATTTGCTGCCCATAGCTAGACTAGACTATGAGCTCCTATTAGGTTCAATTTCATAAACCAGTGGAGAGAAATGCAAACCCAGGCTTTCTGACTCTGAATCTACTATAGCACAGGTAACACAGCTAGAACCTGAACCAGATTTTCTGATCACCAGAATTTATGTTATGTAATATTATTATCAAATAAAAGTATAACACCAAAGCATTTCAAAAACTTTAAATCTCTCTCTAAAGGTAAACAAATGTTGTTAGCTGCTGACAATTAAAATACATAAATATATATGTGTGTATATACATATACATGTACTCATACATGTTCACTTACACATACACATACACATACATATACATATACACATACATATACATGTGGTTGTTTGGTTTGTCCTTCATTCTCGAAGAAGACCATGACATCAGGATGATGATGACATGACTTATGATTGATACACACACACATACACACACACATACATGAATGGAGAGTGGCTAAAGTGTAAAGTTCATTCGTGGCCACCAGGGGGAGAATTTCAAAGCAGTTGCTGTTGCCTAAGCTTCTATGAAGAAGCAAGTGAGGAACTATAACAGGAAAAATAATTAATATTATCTATTCTATCTCCCTCACAGGGTTGTTGTGAGGTCAAATAAGATAGGAAAACATTTTGAAAAAATGGTAAAATATTGTAATAGCAAATGTTGTTGTTCAACAGTTTTAGTCATGTCCTATTCTTTGTTACCGCTTTTGGGGTTTTCTTGGCAAAGATACTGGAGTGGTTTGTCATTTCTTTCTTCAGCGCATTTTACAGATGAGGAAACTGAGGCACATAGGGTGAAGTGATTTGCCCATGCTAGTAAGTATCTGAGGCCAGATTTGAACTCAAGAAGATGAGTCTTCCTGACTCCAGGTCCAACGCTTTGTCCACTGCCTCATCTAGCTGCCCACATAGAAAGATTGCATAGTTAAAATGTTAATCCTAAACCAGAGTTATCACAAAAAATTTAAAGCACATATGAGTCAATGTGACATTTAAAAAGTTCAAGAGATATGGTTTCTGGGTAATTAAGCATTTTATTAATAATGCTAGCATTTTATTAATAAAAGAGGTCAGTGGCACTCTTGAATACCAAAGACCCCTCATGGTTGTGAGCTCACAGTTTATATGCCCTTGGAAGAGGGGTGTTCCTGAGGGTGGCAATCAACTCTGATTGGTTAGCAATTAATGAAATAATGACTATTATAATGAGGGACTGGGCTATATTCCAATAATGGTGTTGGGGTATGGATCACACAAAGAGACTTATCAATTTCCATTTCACCTGTCTGACAAAAAGGAGAATCCACATTTCCCTAGACCTGCCTGAGTGAACACAATGAGCAGCAATCCATCCATTCACCTAAACTTAGAATTTAGTGTGGGTAAATCTTTTAGAGAGATATCTCACACTGTTTGATTTCTGGATGAGGAAGTAGAAAAGGGGAAAAACTTTGGTCCTAATTTGACAATTAGTTCCTTAAATACAAGAGAGAAATAATCATTCCTCTCAGTCAAAGTTATGTGAGGTGACAAATGAAGGTACATTCTGTACAAGACCTTTCCTATATGAGATGCAATGGAATGTACTTGAAGGTACTTATTTCATAATATTGTATCATAGCTTCCTATCTCCGTGTTTTGTCTCCCAACTAAGCTACATGGGGGAGTAACCCTAGCTGATCTAAACCAATTTTTTCCTCCAGCAGCAGTATGAGTTTTAAAAGTGTTTGTTGTTAATGACTTACTGAAAAAACAAATAACTGAAGTGCACTATGGGGAAAGAAATTATGAGCGAGAGGGAGGTTTCATGCTGGTGAGGTAGGGCTTAGGGGAGCTGTCATTTCTTTTCTAGTGAATCTGGGAAGTTTTCTGGGGAAGCTGGAATGATGAGAACACAGAGTTTGGTAGAACCATGTGAACTTTCTAAGCATAAGGTAATTTGGGAGGAATGCTTAGATGTGAAAACAGGGAGTAAATAAGTGAGCAAAGTGAATGAATGAATGAATTAGGAGAACCTCTAAAATACTGATACATGAGAGGCACATGAAATTAGACAGTGATTTTAAGAGTTTTGATTGAGTAGTCACTGTCTATATAATTCCTTAACTTAAGAACAGAATTTGGGGGCCTCCAATATTGAGATGATTGCATTGATGTAATGATAATCTCTTGAAACCCCCCCCAATAGTTGCCTGTTGATACAAATCATAGAACACCCAAATAAGTAAAGTTTTGAACAAAACCTTGACTGAATGCTAATTTTGTACCTATATAGCATGCTTTAACATTTGCACATTGGCTCAGGAGAGGTAAGAATTGTTATGTATTTAGACCATGAAGAGTCTTAATGGCACCTTAGTGTGTGTGTGTGTGTGTGTGTGTGTGTGTGTGTGTGTGTGTTGTGAAAAATTATTTTTCTTAGTAATCATTATCTTGGAAACTCAGAGCTTCCCCATTCCCCTTTCTTTCTAAGTTCAGTCCTTCTTCAGAAAGACATTAAGATATAATCTAAATGGGTCTTTTCCTGCTTATTATGTTGCCTAGACAGGTCTGGGAGAATGTTGATTCCTCCCTATTGTCAAGGCAGGTGATAAGGAAATTGATATCTCTTTGACCAAGACTGAGTGATCCCAGTCATGTACTGAAAGACTCTCATTTTGATATGGATCATCTCCCAGAGTTGATTGGCATCCCTTGGGAGCACTTACTCTTCGAAGGGCATATAACGCTGTACTCCAAAAATCCCAATTCGAGCCAGTTCTGAACTGGACCCCTTAAGGGTGGCCCAGTTTTGGACTGAACTCCCATGCAATGCATGTCAAGTCAGCTTAAGAGAAATTAAACTGTGGACACATGCACCCCACTTTTGTTGTCTTTTTCTTAGAGCTGACTCTTTCAAAATTGGGGTTTGTTTTTGGGGGACTCACAGTGTGCATACATGTATGTGCATATTTATAAGTGTGCACATGTGCATTACCTGACCCATTTACACTTGAGTCCCAGTCATAATAGCAACAAGGCTTGGAAGATCTCGGCAAGACTTTGAGGATGGTGCAGTGACTTTAAAGCTGCTAATTCCCTGCCTTTATCATTGGAGCTCCTTCCATTCACAGATGCTCTGCTTGTACTCATCGTTCAACGGCTGGCACATTCCTGTCTCTTCTTTCTCTCTCTCCATCTCAGTGATGCTAAACGTCCAAATGCCAAAGTACAACTTCTCCTTCCCAAGCCTTGTTGTTTCCTTTCTCATCAGTATTTGCATCAACTTTGCTCTCAGTCCCAATGTCCCATTCCAGACTACTCACTGTTTCCAAGGGGCTCCTGTTATATATTGACAAATTTCTTTCCATTTTAGATTTCTTCCTCTTATCTTTCATTTTATCTTCTGGAGCTTACTGAGACTTGGTTTCCTCCAATGACAATTCATCCCTGGCCATCCTTTCCAGTACGAGTTACACCTTCTCCCATATACCCTGAATTACTGGTCCTGCTAGGAAAGTTGGAATATAGTTATCCCTTCCACATCATGACTTTCCTCCATTGTGATTTCCATATATCGAGGGTTGGCATAAAAAATTAAATGGAAATTTTGGGGGAGTTTTTCAGAAGCCCCACATGACACTTGAAGGCCAGCAGTTGATACAGAAAAAGTTTAGAAACTCAGAAATGCATAAAATATATGTGTAGTATTGTATAATATCAATGTATTGTGGCCAAAAAAATTTCCCCATTTAGTAGATAACTTTCTGGCATTGGGCTTCTCTGCATTTAGGCTGTTTTTTGAGTGGTAACAGATACATTGTTCATCACTAGACATAATTAGCAATTTTCATATTGGGTCAAACAGTAAGGAATGTGTCTTCAAATCGTCTTTACAATTCATGAGGTAAAAATAATGTGATAAGTAATTAAGATGAATTCAGTTGAGTGGGAAAGGTAGTTAATTACTATAGTGATCCCAGATAGGTATATATGGTAGCTTTCTATTTTATCTAATTATTCTTATTAACTAGGTGCTATGCTTAATTGTTTCTACACTAAATTTTGGTTTCCTGAGAAATAGCTCCAGTCACCCTGACAAAATTCTTTAAATTATTATTTCCTTTCATGTGTCTTTCATATGATAGCCTCAGGACATTATTGGGCTTTCTCATTCATCCAA